ATTCCGCCGCTCCTCTAAACCCGCTTTGTTCAGGCATCCCCTTGTCTGGTGTTGCCGCTGACCGCCGGAATGTTGTTCTCTCCTCCCCCCTCTCCCCCTTTTCACATATAGGAAAGGAAAGAAAAGAAGGAAAAACTTGAGGAGAAGGCAGTCCACAAAGAAAAGAAGAAGGAGATAGTGGAGGTGAGGGGACTCGGGGGGGTTTTATGCTCGCTGTGGGTAAGGGAGTACGGGAGATTAAGAAATAGAGGGCGGACTGAGGGAGCTTTGGAGGGAGAGGGTAAATGTGGAGACTGAGCCTTGAAGGACTTAGCGTTGTCAGCGCAGCACGTTGTGAATAAAAAAGATCAAAGAAGGCAATGGAGCTGAGAACAAGCAGGGAGAAGGTGGCACGAGAGACGTTGTCCTGCACCCACTGAAGTACCCTGAGGTGCATAAGGAGTGTAGCCTGAAGAAGGTGGGGGGAGGAACGGTGAGGAAATAGCCAGATTAATGAAGGTTGGAAGGGATCTAGAAGCAGATGTACCATGAGCATAGGCAAAGTCTTTAGCCTGTAACCAGAGAGATGTTCTGATTGTTGGGATGGGATTGCAGCAGCTTGTTGGCTTGTGGAGACGAGGAGGTTCGTGTTGCTGGGGAGGGACTGGAAGGATTGGTTTTGCAAAAGAAGGCTGGTTGGGAGGAATACTCATCGGGGTGGTGGGAATAATGCTGTTGGAGTAACAATGCAGAAGTCACTTAATGTATGCCTGAGTCTGGAGTGTGAAGTGGCTGGAGCTGTGGAAATTGTTGCTATACTTGCAGCAAAGAGCATGTGGAAATGTCATCTTGATGCCAATTTCTGTTCTGCCCAACTTGTTTCATTCAGGATGAGGAAAATGGAGCTGATGAGGATGAGGAAGAGAATCCTGATGATGTGGATGAAGAAGAAGGAGGTGATGAGGATGAAGGTAGGAATAATTGGTGTAGGTAAAATTGGAGGAATCAGGCTGTGGGAGGATAGAGGATTGAGGAGTGAAATTCGTTCTCTGAGCCCCCTGACTGTGAGATTACATTCCCTTAAATGCTGCTTCAATTAACCCATGATTTCCTCTCTTCCTTGTGCTTAGAAGGAGATGAGAATGGGCAAGAGCAGGATGGTCATGCAGAGAAACGATCTGCAGAGGAGGAAGAGGTGAGTAGTAGCGTGAGAGTAATGGTGGGAAGAAGGAACTAGGTTGCTTGCTGAGTGCTGATCACATCCATGTGGATGCTGCTGCTGAGCATCTCAAATTGGCCTTGGGTCTCATTGCTTCAGCAGCAGATGGGTAAACAAATCTGATGTAGCAAGGGGATAATAAACCCCTGTACACTTCGTGTAGGATCCATGTCCTGATCCAGCAGTCATGGTGCTGAGTGAGCGAGAGTTAAGGTGCTTGAGACTGTACTTGGCAATGACCTCTTGAACCACCTGTGTCTTCTGGGCTTCAGGCCAGGAGATAAGTTTGTAAGGGTGGGTCTCGAGGTCTGTCTGGAGTGGTGTGAGCCTGGGATTCTTACACCTCCCAAAAGTGTCAGTGTGCGTATCCCTCTGAATGGAGCTGTCCACATTTTAACTGTGACCACCACAGAACAGCTGTGTCAGGCACGCAAGGGTGGCTCAGAGAGGAGGGGATTTAGGGCGGGCCAAATGGAGATTTCCATATTAGAGGAAAGAGCAGCAGTAAGAATTTTGCGGAAAAATGATGTGCCTTTGTGTGGTGACTATTTGATGGTAACTCCTTTTTCCTCTCCATGTCTGATGTAGGATGAAGTGGATCCAAAGAGACAGAAGACAGAAAACGGCTCTTCAGCTTGAGTTCTCCCCTCCCATCTCCCCTGTTCCGTCCATCTCCTCCTCCATTCCAGCCTGTGCTTGCGCTGCCCATTAGCCTCTGGCTTCACACAATCTCAGATGAGGAAAGATTAGAAATTCTCTCAAACAGCGAAGACAGCAGTTTTCTCCTAACCCAAAGACCTAGCCCATCTGTGACATTCCCCAGCTGAAATTATTCCAGTCCTCTGCATCCCTTTACCTGTGCCCCACTTCACAGTGATTCTCTTCCCTCAAGAATCTCATGGTTTCCTGGGGCCCGGTACGTAACCTCGTCAGGTGCCTCTCCTCCCCTTCCCACTTGCCCCTGCCTGGTTTTGTCACTGGTGTGAGGTCCTTGACAGCTCCTGCTCCCTGGAACTGCTGTCAGACATCCTCCCTGAGCCAGAAGGCTGCGGGCACAGATCTCATGGTGCATTTCCCAGTCCTAGGCCTCTTCTCATCCGCTTTCCTGCT